CGGGGGGGGGGGGGGGGGGGGGCAGCCTGCAATGAATTCTCAGTTACCGTGCCGTACCTCGTTAAAGCCCCGCATGCGAACACAAATTGGTATTATTTCTTGCATGCACTAGCACTGGGTAAAATCGTTAAAGACTTCTGCGTGAGCGCAGGCTGCCTACTAAGACCAAGCTGGTACCACCATGCAGTGCTTCACTTGCAATGTCGATGGATACCGCTGGGTTGTTGACAAAAAAATGAAGAAAAGTTCTGAATTGAGGTGCTAAATGTGATCATGTAGCTACTATTACGTTTAGGAACTCTTACGCACAGAAACTCTTTCAATTACAGTTAAATCGCCCCGCGGCAACGGAGGGTGGAGATTTGCAAACTTCACGAGGCCGGAGAGCCAGGAGAGCGGCTTCAATGTGGGGTTCGGGGCCCGGAAGTTTGCTCCAATGATCGTTGGATCTCTGCATAAGAAGCTTCAGCAGATATGACTGACAACGACTTTTTCTTTTGGAAGGAAAGTCGGTGGATCTGCCACACGCGCGGATAAACTGGATTTTGCTGCAGGGGTCGGACTAGCTGCGGGGTGCATCCCTTACGTCCTCTTTATCCCTTGAGGTGACTGGCCTTTTCAAAGACGGAAAACTTCCGAATAGTTTTTTCTTCCGTTTTTTTGCTTTATTTGTTCTTGGTTGACTGCTGAGGCCTCCTGTATCCTTTTTCTACGCAACAGGTGTCAGCTTTGTTCTTATATTGTGGCATTTGCGTTCCTGTGTGTTTTTTTTTCAGAATACAGCAGTGCATCGAGGGTCTAGATGCCAATCTAGATATGGTGGCATTTCTTCTGTCACGCATGCGGGTTGTACGTGATACAACTCTGGCGCCACCATACTTCCCTTGTGCCACGAATCCACTACTTCCTTAGCGAGGACCCCGTCTAGGTTTGCATCATAGGATTTGCTGGCAGAGAGCTTACGTACAATCGGAACATTGCAGTATTCAATCTCTGCTTCGCCGGGGCCTCGTTGCATGCACTAGCAAACTGGAAGTGCTTCCCACTTTCGACGCCTCTATTTCCAGCTAAGGTGCTGGGCTTGTGAGCAAATGTATTTCTCCGGGCGATTCGGGTCCTGAGCAAGGCGACCTTTCTCCGGGCGGTCAGCGTTAGAGGTTTTGATTGATCAACCCGCTTGTGCGCTTGCTCTTCTGGATGTTTGGTCGACAAACCAATAACAGTCCGACGATGGAGAACAAGAAGCGGTCTTTCAGCATCCTTCGCTTGCCGCTGTGTTTTTGGCTGTTTGCGGCATTCTGGATCGTCGAACAGCAGAATGTATGTTCTTCAAAAGTGCCAGAAGTTCCAACAGGGACTCCCGAATTGCAAGTTTCAAACGGTGTACCACCTGACTCGCTGAGAAAATTGCATTCGCAAGTGATTGCCCAGAAGGAGGCAATAAATGCCGAATTTGCCACACGGCTTGTTTCAAAGAAGCGCTTCCACCTAATTGCTGTGCTCGTGCTGATTCTTGGCCTAGTAAAAGCAATATCAATTCGTAGACAGAGGAAGGCAGATGAGATCGTGGAGCCCATACAGGTGCCCGAAGATGTCTCGAAGGAAATGCGAGATGAGCTTCCACAGATGCCGATGGGACGTGAGCGGAGGACTCGAAGAGAGTACCGGAAGCCAAGGCAACCCTCTAGGTTGCCTTTCACTCCCCAGCGTCAGCCAGCTGTTCAACCCGGGGGAGTGGAAGAAGCCGTTCAACAACCAGCTTCACCACCACCTGCACGACAAATGCCGGAAGTTCCAGAGGAGGAACGGGAGATTTATCAATTGAGGTATAGATTGGTGGATATGAGAAGTATTTTGAATATTTCGCACTCATTGATCGATGAGTTGCCAGGGGTAGACGGGATCCTCCCCACAATCACAACGAACGTGGAGACTGCTGAACACGCGGTGGCGGCGTACGATAATGCAATGATGAGGAATGATCCACAAATTGCTTCAATTAGGAATGAAACCGTTAATTTAATGAGAGTAATGCTCGACGGAGCCCGGGAAGCCTTGCTGCAAATTGCAACAATGGCAAGACAGCATGGTGAGGTAGTGCGGTCAAATATTTCTCAGTATTGTTATTTTGCAGATACCTCTGGTTTGCGAAAGTCTCTGGATGACAGCTGGGAAACAACGTCGGTCAAAATGTGTGTTGCGTCGCTGACTAACCTCGAAAGTATAGCTGCAGATTTACAGCGGGAGACTGAAGAGCAGTTTATGGTTTTGCACTCTGTAGCATTCGATGAGGGATACGAAGCAGAAGATTTTGTCAGACTTTACGGAGCCCTTGCTGCCATGAACTTTAGGAAGGTGTCGTTGGAAACGTTATCTGCTCTGGACCAAGCATTGCTAGGTGGTATCCTACAGATGCACAAGGATTGGATGACGGCGAAGCTTCTGAGAGAACGGATACCGCTTGAAGTGGACACATATTTAGTTGAGGGGATTGAAACAGTTCTGTCGCAGCATCGCCTAGGCACTAGAGTTCTAACACCATCAGAAGTGTTAGCCATAAAAAAATTGCTTGAAAAGCAGAATCAGGATATTGACGTTATGAAATCTGCGCAAGACATCGAGGCGGTCACAGCAGCGTACGAACGGGCGAAGACAGTGAACCAACAGCTCACTTATACACTACATACACAAAAAGAAAAGCAACGTCGTTTTTTGGAGCAAAATCCACTGAACAAGGAAGAGAACGCCTCTCTTTCTGATATTATAGCTAACATCGTCCAGCCTGGCGTCAAGGACAGCGAGGAATTCTTGCATTCTGCGCAGAACGCATATGCAGAAGCTGGTGGCAAAATTGAAGACGTTGCGTACAGTCCTTTTAGCGGTAAAGGTTTTCTGCAAAAGGTGGCAACTAAGGTGGGAACTAAGGTGATGGCAGCAGCTGGAGTTGAGCAGGAAGATGCAGGCCGTGACACCAGTACAGCAAGCGCTACGAATTCGATTTTTACCCAGGCAGTAGTCAAAATTGAAGCTGTTGCGAAAAATGCTTGCGATATGGCCCGAGACTCGCTGCAGACAATGAAGAAGACAAAGAAGTACAAACTGGACAAGGATGGATTTGGGTCCTCTGCGCTGGATTTGAAAACACAACTTAGAGTCGATGTTGTGAAAAATAGAACAAGTGTAGACCTTGTTAGAATGCGGTGTCGATACGTGGATAGACTGACGAAAGAAGTACTTGGACTTGAAAGGTTGTTACAGTCAGTATTTTTGTATCCGTATCGGCCATCGTCAAGCGAATGGGTTCAGGTAGGTCGATTCAAGGAGAAATTTGACAGGGAAAAGGCATTGGCCCAGCAAACTGATAATTTTGATATGCTCCCTAAACATTTCGACAACATGTTGCAACTCTCCTTTGAAATTTGGAATACTCTTGAACGCGAACGCTTGGATCAGTTGATGCAGGCAGTCAGCCAGCCTTCTGGGTCTTCATGATTCACCATGGCTATAGCGGGCTTGTGAATGAAAATTCATAGGGCGTTGGCGCACATTTTTGCCGTGTTGCCGACGTTTCATTTCTACACAGAAAATTGCTGATGATGATGCAGCAGGTCGTTGCATGTAGAGGTGCGGGCATTACGTGCGAATTTCCGCGCAATTTTTAACGGTGTTTCTAGTTGCCTCTTGTATTGAATAGTCGTCTTTTCCGGTGGCTTATGTATATGATTTTCACTCAAGAGACATTTGTGACCGGACGATGTTTGCACTGATGAGGGAATGAGGGTCTTGCGACCCAAGCAATCCCTTATCGTGTGAGTCATAGGCAACCGTTTTTACTGTGGGAGTTTGTGGTGCATGCTGTGCATGGTATTTCACCCCTGTTTATCCCGCACGGGAAGCAGGGGTTCGCTACTCCATAGCTCTTTGTAGCCTTTGCCGAATTTCAACTAGGTAGTAATCTTGCCGCTCTACGTGAGCTTTCAATGAAGCTGAAGGAGGCTGGCGAGCAGATGTACCCCCAGGCACTCGCAGGTTTAAAGGCGGGAGGTTACGTTGCCACGAAACCTTTTCTGTTGTACCTTCCGAACCTCCCTATGGAATGTTGGCGGTGCTTCAGAACGACCAGCATGACATTCCAGTTAATTTCAAACAGGTGAAGTGGGGTCTTGGAGCTATCGCGGCCGAGCCTCCAGTACGCTTTTGCTCCTCGCTGCTTGCTGATTCTGGAACTTCCGTGTAGCTAGAGTCACCCAATATGGAGTTGCAGACGTACAGCTGGATGGGAATCGCACACGACTAGGGAGAATGGAATGTTCCTGCTCGTAAGCAGCGGCGAAATGCTCGCTTTTCACGTGATATCTTGCCGTCTTCCTCGTAGTTTAATTACTTCCCTTTGCTTTAGAGCGTGGCTTTAACGGACTAAGTGAACATGAGTATAAACAAGCACTGTGTGTACACATCCCCGGGCGGCAGCAGAGGCAGTGACAAAGCGGACGCATGATGCATGCCTACAGGGTCACATCATTTGCCTTCCAAAAGTAGTTGTATCATGGCGCACGTGAAACGCACTAAGGACGCCCCGAGGTGAAGCCTGCTACTCTAACGATGCCCCGGTGGAAAATTAAGCATCTAGATGCTTACTGTAGAAAGAAGCGTTACGAGGAGCAAAAGTGCGCAAAAGAGGCGTTTAAGAAGTAGGAGCGCTGCAGGTGGAGAAAGGGGGCACGTGGTCCCCCTAGCACGGCACTAAAACAGCAGGTATCGACGGCATTGGCATTTCTACTTGCAAATAGGCATTTTACGTGAGAATTCTGAGGCGTTCGCCCAGGTCCAGTTTTTATAGAAAATTTCAATCTGAAAACGGCGAATTATGTTGACTCCAGCGTTGTGCCCTGTACAGCGCTTGAATATGAACAGCAGAATGCCACAACGGGTATCATGGCATTTGGGTCGTAAATGAGTTTCTATATTCTGAGACGAACATGCGACAGACAAATGATAGGAAGACTATCCTGCCATCCACAGCTGTTGTCTGGAAGATTGATATGGAGGGTCTCTGCAGTCACATGCATATAGATAAACCACAAATACAAGCACTGGAGGGAAAATAACAATATCTAATTTTTCGCGAATTCGAACGTCCCGCTACCGTGAGTATTGTGTGCGATGCTCCACTGCAATTAGTTGAAGTCAAGGTATTAACTGTGCATTTTAGCATTCTCCCGTCCGTACACCTGTTTATCCTCACATTCACTTAATCCGTTGAAGCCACGCTCTAGAGCAAAGGGCAGTAGTTAAACTACGAGGACAACGGCAAGGTATCAGGTAAAAAGCAAGCAATTCGCCGCTGCATACGAGCAGGAACACTCCACCAATGTTGCCACAGCTGTTTGAAGGTTGATATAACAAAACTTTAGCGGAGATTTGCAGATCTGATATTCTCACGTTACCTGTGCATGCATGCGGCTGGCAAGATTGCAGCGGTGGGGCTTGGAGTCACTGGCCGCCTGCACCTCTGTGGGTGCAGGGTGGCTGCCTCATCTAGGACACGAAACAGTTTTCGGACCGCAAATCTTCCTTTTGTGCCACTGGGCAAGTTTAGGCCAGAACGACTGACATTTATCTGCAGGTCTTCCCCAGAGAGCACGATGAAGCGCGGTACGTGTGGGGTGATGCCGCATCGCTGTGTTCATAGCGCTCTGGCGTCCATTTTGAACTCCAATTCCAGTTTACAGTTTGTTTCGTTCTAAATGTGATTATTTTAGGACGCCGATAATGATTGGAGCTCGACTCCTCTCTGTGGAACCTGCTCTAGAGGGAATCTGCAGATGATCAGCTTTGAATGCGCACTCGTAGCGGCGTTTACGCCAATGCTCTCCCCAGTAGAATAAATGCGAGCACAGTTCCGGCACATTTATGATTTGGTTTCCGTAGAACAGAGGAGAAAACACATGCATTCCGTCAGCTGCAGCTGGGAACTTGATGCACCTGAGGAAGCGCATGTAAGAACACTGTGGCCGCAGGCAATTTCCTCCCCGGCATTCGCTCCAACTTTCTTGTATCACCAGACGTGCCGTTGTCGTTTCTTTGCAGGACGTGGTGGTGCCGGTGGCAACAAGATGAAGGTGACCCTCGGTGAGTTTTGCGTATGGAACTTTGGATATGGGTTTCGAACTGGTTGCAGCTTATTTGGGAGCTTTTGCAGTTCCCGTTCTTGTTCGTTGTATGCGGTGTCTGGGAATGTTTCAACAGACGAAGAGTACCATGTGTAATCACGTTTGTCTGGCTGGTCGGTGTCGGCTGCAGGTCTTCCGGTGGGCGCCCTCATCAACTGCTGCGACAACAGCGGGGCCAAGAACTTGTACATCATTGCCGTGAAGGTATGACTACCATTTGTTTTCTGTTTTTTGTGCACCAATTCAGCTGATTGATGCTGTTAGTTATAGGGTCGTCGGCGAGGATTTGCTTTACTTACCGCACTGCAGGCAGCGAAGTCCCGTGGTGCAGCATAGACGATGTATGTTGTGGGGCTGCTTGCTGCAGGGTTGGGGCTCCTGTCTCAACAGGCTGCCATCCAGCTCTCTGGGAGACTTGGTGCTGGCTACGGTGAAGAAAGGGAAGCCCGAGCTAAGGAAGAAGGTGCACCCAGCAGTCATTGTGCGCCAGCGCCGCGCCTGGAGGAGAGCGGAAGGCTACTTCATTTACTTTGAAGATAACGCTGGAGTTATTTGCAATAACAAAGGCGAGATGAAGGGGTCTGCCATAACCGGACCTGTCGCCAAGGAGTGCGCAGAATTATGGCCCAAAATCTCCGCTGCTGCCCCTGCAATCTGCTGAGAAAAAAGCAGTTGGACTGGCAAAATCGCAGCACAACGTGCAGCTGTAGCTACAGCAGCGGCTGCAGCAGCAACTGCAGCAGTAACTGTTGATGTCATGCTGCTCCTGCTGGAGCTGGTGCCATTAAACCAAAGCAAGGTTGCCCCCGACCCCTGGTGATAAGGGGTTGGGAGCGATTGGGTCTTTTTCTGGATTTTCCCGGCGGCTAAAAATCGATCGGACTTGTACCATTTGCAAATCCTGCATGCATTAGTTGCACGTTAGACACATATGCATTGTAAAGTGAGACAGCTGGATGGAAATCGCACACGACTAGGAAACACTTAGACACACACAGAGACAGCTGGATGGAAATCGCACACGACTAGGAAACACTTAGACACACACAGAGACAGTTGAATGGAAATCGCACACGACTAGGGAACACTTACACGCACACACTGTGTGAACACACACATTCCTGTGTGTACACACCCGCAGGCGGCAGAAGCAGCAGAGGCAGTGGCACGGCGAACGCGTGCTACTTGCATACAGGGTCATATTTACCATCTTCGTGTGTATACGCTATACGGGCCGCATGCGCCTTTAGTAGGGCACGGGTAATACAACGTTGGAAGGACCTTTTAGTACATGCAAAACAAGGGGGGTGTGTTTGGGGGTTAACTGGTGGAGGTACGGCACAAATCTGCAGCGCAGGAATTTATAAGATTTGGCGGCAAACGCAAATAGGCAGTTGCAGTTATAGACCCATGGGATGGCGGTTTTTCTATAATAGGGCAGCAGGAGCTGCTGTTAGTCTCGCTGCTGCACGGTTATTAGGCCCTACACGACTCTACTATGGGGCGATTGTTCTCTTTCGTTGGAGCCTCCAATTTGCACGCTTTTGCATTAATAACTGAATATACACATCATTCGCAGAAATGAAAGAGACCCTACCACTGTGCGACCATCCCCTATTCATCAGCCTCGAGCCTAGAGGGCCCATGGAGCTGTAGGGCCCCCTGGACTACATGACATTGGAAGCTTAGTGGGGACCGCCGCATAAAAATGTTATTTTAAAGACAAAATTGGCAAAGAGAAAAAATAGGGAGGACATGAAGGGCGGATTAACTGGAACTTTTCGATGTGCACACACGGCCTTCGAGCAGTCGAGGGTTTGGATTCAAATGTAGGAGGCAGAGCCGCAAATACATGCAACAGGGGCCTCCATGTGCCCACCCTCTGCCGCGTCCTTCTTGTTTTAAACCACAGAACAGAGGACCAAAAGGGCTCCCCAGCTGAGAGGGGGGGCCCCACTGCAGCGCCCCAAGACAGCAAACGGGGCCCCCTTTGGCTCGAACAGCGACGGAGTTAAAGTGTGTCAAGAACACTCTTGCACAGGGCAAGGAAGGTTCCCCGTTATGGAGCGTAGGGTGTGGCTCCATGGGTACTGAAGACAAAAGGGAGGGGGGGCCCAACTGCCAGCCGCGGTTGCTCCTGTTGCATCAACTGGAGCCCCCCTTAGAATGGCAACGGGCTTCTGCGGTCTTAAGGGCTTCTCTGGGCCTAGATGCATCAGGTGACCGTATTCACTTGGGGGATCCCCAAGCAGCGGGGGGGGACCTGGTGGAGGAGGGCCCCCCACAATTCAGTGCAGCGAAGCTTCAAAAGATGCTACGTGACATACAAGATGCTATACATACGGGCTTTCTAGAACGCCAATCCTTCGTGCAGCAAATGTCTCTTCCATTCGTAAGCCTGGGTATCGCTTCTGAGGCAGATGCAAACAGCTGCCATCACCAGACAGCAGCAAACGAGCAGCAGGAGCAGGAGCAGCAGAAGCAGCAGGTGTTTCCACCACCCAAACGCCTAACTCCCAGGGCCTACTGCAACGTAGAGCGTCTCTTTGCTGCAGTGCCAGCACCAGCAGCGCATGCCTTCTTCTCAAGGGCTCTGCCGCAGCTGATAAAGGCAATATTGGCTGCTGAACGGATATTCCCCAGGTGTACGTACAACTCCAGGTCAGCAGCGCCGAGCGACGAGAAGCCACAAACAGCGGACTGCGGCGACCTCTCAGCAGCAGCAACGGCAGGAGCAGCAACAGCAGAAGCAATCTTAGCAGGAACGGTAAAACGGGCAGAGGAGGAGAGAAGGCCACGCTCTTGCCTGTGCGGGTCGTGCCGCCTGAGGCTGCAGTTATACAAGCACTGCAGCAGCGGCTGCAGTAGCGGCTGCAGGAGCAGCAGTTGCAGCAAAAGCAGTGGGGGAGAGCAGCACGTGAGCAGCAGCGCAGCAGAGTTAAGTGCAGGCGAAGGATGGGTTTTGTTTGGTTTGGGCTTCTTCGGTTTGTTGCCGCCTTCAGATTGGCAGGAAATTGCTGCAGGCTTCCCTAGCCTTGGGGACATATCCTTTGCTTATTTCTACAACCTAACAGGTAACCTGCTGCTGCTGGTGGTGCTGTTGTTGCTCCTGCTGCTGGCGGTGGAGCTGCTGGCCGCTGATGGCGGTGCGGTTGCTTCTGTCGCTGTCTCTGTTGCTGCTGCTGCTCCTGCTGCTGTCGGTATTGCCTTGGATGGGATTTGACTGCTCTTTTTCGGTGCTGGCTCCATGACTGTTGCTCCTGTTGTTGTTGCTGCTGTTTCTTCTGCTTCGTTGGTTTCCTCTCCTCCATCTGCAATGGAGGCCCCTTGGGCCTCCCCCTGCGGCGTTCCTCCACTGGCACGCGTTTCGTTAGGCTGTGCTTTCGTTGCGCATTTGCTGCTGCTGCCGTTGCTGCTGCTCGTGCAGCTGCTGCTGTTGCTGCTTGCGTTTTCTTCCGCTGCAGCTCCGGCCCAGGCTGCCAAGTTGCACTGTTTCGTTAGGTGAGGAGACGTTAAGTTGGCTGTTGCAGCAGCAGGAGCAGGATGACTTCCAGAAACAACAGAAAGGCTTGCACCAGCAGCAGAAACACTGGCTGCAGCAGCAGCAGAGCCTCTGCTGCGGTGTGCTGCTGGGTGCAGGTACTGCTGCTGCATGGCTGCAGCAACGGAGGCCTTCAATACCAAATGCAACCTCAAGAACATCTTGCCGTTTACTTTTGCCCCCCCTCACATTGCCTCTCTTTGCTGCAGAGACAGCAGAGAGGAGGAGACGGTTTCTGCGGTGTCTCTGCTTCTCGAGGAAGAAATCCGGCAGTTTCTCCCCCGAAAGACTGTTTGTGCTGCTGCCACCGCTTGCGCTGCTGTTGCTGCAGCAACTGCAGCAGAGACGTCTCCAGCCTCACCACCAGAAGGGTCTCCACATCCCCGGCCACCAGCCGACTGTCTGCAGCAGCAGCAACAGCAACCTGCAGGCAGCAACAGCAATAGCTTCAGCAGCAGCAGTAGGGCGGGGGATGTTCGAGATGGCTTCTTGTGGGGCCCCTCCGTGTTGTGTGCAGTACCTGTGGGTGCATGGCCGTTGCAGCTCCCATGCTGCTTCGTCCTGCGGTGTCTCCGCTTCTCTCGTGCTCAGGCAGCAGCTTGGTGTTGCAGCGCCGAGGCAGTGGCGCTGCAACAGCAGCCGCTGCTGCCTCCTGATATCGTAGCAACAGCAGCAGAAGGCGGAGGAATCCCCACAAGTGCTGATATCGATGTACGCGCAGACTTCGCCAACAATGTCATTGGAGGCGGCATTCTTTACCATGGTACCCTCCTCCTCCCTTGCGGCATTCTTTGATGTTTTTTATGCATTGTTGCTTGCTTTTGCTGCTCCTTCTGCATTATTTGCTGCTCTCGCTGCTCCAGCTGCTCGCTGCTCTTGGTGCATTATGTGCTGCTCTTGCTGCTTGCTGCTCTTGCTGCATTACTTGCTGCTTTTGCTTCTACTTCTGCTTTTTGTCGCTGCTGGTGCATCTACCGCATTCTTCACTGCTAGTTTTGCAGCCGCTGAATTATTTGCTGCTGCTCGTGCTGCTGCCACGGCTGCTGTCTGTTCCTGCAGCAGCAGCTGCTTCTGATCTTGTGTAGGTTCCTGTTTACGGCTGCTGGTCTTTTGGGCTGCTGCAGCTCAGGTGGTCCTGTTTGAACATATGCATATGCAACCAGGGTTTCTCTCTGTCGCTGGTGCTGCTGCTGCTGTTGCGACAACGGCAGGAGAGCTGCAGCACCAGTTCCCAGTGGAGTGTATGGGAGCGCAGGAGGAGTCATTTGTCCGTCTGCTTTTGCTTGTGTGTCCGTTGAGGCTCATTCTTTTGGCTGTCCGTACACTGCCTTCTTTGTTTTGTTGGTTTTGTTTCAGGATCACTGCAAGAAGAAATACTGTTTGCTGTCTGTCCTGAGCTGCTGCTGCTGCGGCCGTTATCGCAGCACTTGCGACTTGGGGAAGCAGCGCATGCTGTCGGCTGCGTTCGGTTCTCCGGTTATCGCGGCTACGCCGGCAGCTTCAGGTGTCTCCTTAACAAACAAAATGGCACTACAAGCAGCAACAACAGCAGCAACAGCACAAGCCGAACAGGACATTTGAGCAGACCACAGCTACAGACAGACGGAAGGCCGCAGCAGCAGCACATTGGAGACTCAACTGAACCAGCAGGGGCAGCAGCAAAAGGAGCAAAGTCAGGAGGGGGGGCAACTGGAGGACGAGGTGCAGCAGGATATACACAGGAGATCGCTAGGGACGGGGCTGCAGGGCGGGAACAGCAGCTGCTGTCGCTTTACTCAGACGATGAAGAGGATAGAGATAAAGGGGACTCTGGGGATCCGATCCCAGAGGAGACAACATCAACATCTGCTAGGAAGACCTTAAATGCGACAGAGGGAGTAGAGACTGTAGACAAAACACCATTGCTTGTACAGTGGCTGTTCCCTCTTAAGGCTGCTGCTGCAAGTCGACAGCAGCGAAACGCCGAGATATCCCTTGCTGCAGCAAAGACAGACACAGACATAGAGACAAACACACCAGCAGCAACAAGGCACAAGCGAGGGACTCTGTGTGTGGGGTCCCCGCTTCTGCGCGTCCAATGCGCCTCTTTGGTAGCCGTCTTAGATGCTGCGCGCTTCGGGCCTCCCCGATCAGCACAAGCAGCAGCAGCGGCAGCATCGGCAGCAACAGACGTGTTTGACCTTATTGGGGACCCTAGCGGCGTGTGTGCAGCTGGAAGAGAAGTGTTGCCGCGCACTCAACAATTTTGTGTCCCGTTGATGCTGCGAGATCTGCAGAAGGTCTCCGCTGCAATGCACCTGCCAGCAGAAGATGTTGCAGCAGAAGCTGCCGCAGCTGCAGCAGCTGCATCAGGAGACGCTTCAGACGGAACAGCTGCAGCAGGACTTGTTGAATCGGGAGCTGTAGTTACGGCGCTAAAAGGGTCTTACTTGAGGCCTTTCACCACGGGTATCTATAGAAGTGCAGCAGCAATCGATCGTGTGCTGCTGCTGCTGTTGCTGTTGTTGTGCTTTCCTGCTGCATTTTCTTCGCCCGCCACTGCCCCATGCCATTCAGCACCTCTTTTCTTTCTGCATTCGATGATGTTCTTGTTGCTGGCTACGGCACGTGGTGCTTGCAGGCAATTGGGGATGCGGCTGCTTTGGGGGCGACCCCCAGTTGAAGTTTTTGCTGCAGTGGTTAGCCTGCAGCATCTCCGGTAGGCGCATGCGTTATTTTGCTTGGGGCGTCCCACAGCTGCTGCAGCAAAATTTGCTGCAGCGGCTACTGTCTTCAGTCCTACATGAGGCACGTTGGGGATGCGCGGATCTTTGGAATGCCCTGATAGAGGTGGGAATCCTGCTGTTTCTGCTGTTGCTGCACATGCTGTACTTGCTGCTGCACTTGCTGCTGCTCTGGCTGCTGCTGCCCATGCTGCTGTACATGGTGCTGCTGCTGCTGCTGCGGCTCTTGCTCGTGCTCATTCTCCTGCTGCTGGGGCCTGCTGCAGCAGCGCTGAGAAACCCTGCTGTATTAAATGGAGTTGCTGAAGCAGTCTGCTGCGTTTCGACGGAGGGTCATGCAGCATTTCTGTGCTGCAGCAACAGCAGGTGCTGCCGACTTTTACTGTTGCTGTTCCTTGGATTGGGATTAGGGAAAAATAATAAATCAGTTTTTTTGGGAGGCAAATGAGTAGAAATTAACTGGGAAGGTGTAGACATTTGCTCCTGTCTTCTTGAGGGAGCTGCTTGCTCAGGGATCGCTGGGATCGTCTCCTCCTCTCCGGGAGCAGGGTGTCTTCCCCTATCTGCTGCAACGTGCTGCTAGGGCCTCACTTCTGAGACCCTTGCTGCTACACGCCGAGAACGACGCAAGCAGCAGCACCAGGAAGCGGCTCGAGCAGGGAAGAGTAGGCAAGCGGCCGAAGACAGAAAACAACGCAAACTAAAATCCACAGTACTCTCTCTCTCTCTGTCTCTCTCTCTCTCTCTCTCTCTCTCTATATATATATATA